GCAGCGGCCACTTCCAAAGGTGCGGTGGAAAATTTAAGACCATCAAGGAACTCTTTGAACATGCCTTTGACTTCGGTCGTCATGGAGGTTTTCAATGTGTCCAAAGCCACATTGAATTCCTCACGTGAGACCGGGGATCCTCCATCGGCCGTAGACGAAGAAGGATTCACACCAGGGTGCTCCTCCTCATCGTCTATGGAGTCAACCATACTCTTAGGACGGTAAAGCCCTTAATTAAGAGACGAGGCTCTGATACCAATTGAAAGGATTGATATAGTTAACTAGAGGGGGGTGAATAGGCAACTAACAATTTTTAGCTTTTTTTACCACATTAAGCTTTGCATCAAAGTAGGTTGTCTAGATATGCAACTAGGTGAGCAACCTATAAGATGCAACAACAATAAGCACACAAGCAAGCAAGGGATATAATACAATATAGCTTGCACAAGTAAAGGTGAGAGATAACCAAAAGCGGAACCGATGGAGATGAGGAAGTGTTACCGGAGTTCCTTCCTTTTGAAGGCAAGTACGTCTCGGTTGGAGCGGTGTGGAGGCACAATGCTTCCCAAGAAGCCACTAGGGCCACCGTATTCTCCTCACACCCTCACACAATGCAAGATGCCGTGATTCCACTATTGGTGCCCTTGGAGGCGGCGACCGAACCTTTACAAACAAGGTTGGGGCAATCTCCACAACTGAATTGGAGGCTCCAAACGACACCACAAAGCTTCACCACAATGGACTATGGCTCTGCGGTGACCTCAACCGTCTAGGGTGCTCAAACACCCAAGAGTGACAAGATCCGCAAGGGATTAGTGGGAGGAATCAAATTTCTCTTGGTGGAAGTGTAGATCGAGGCCTTCTCAACCAATCCCTAGAGAACCAACATGTTTGATTGGCTAGGGAGAGAGATCGGGCGAAAATGGAGCTTAGAGCATCAATGGAGCTTAGAGATAGAAGAGGTAGTCAACTCGGAGAAGAAGACACCCCTTTTATAGTTAAGGGACAAATCCAACCATTATCCACCAACTCAGCCTGTGATACGCGGTACTACCACACCATACAAGCGGTACTACCGCGAGGGCCTGTGGTGCTACCGTGAAGAACTGTGGTACTACCGTTGGCACGGCAGGGGCTAAGACCAATCCTGATGAGCTAAGGCAGGGAGCGGTAGAACCGCTAGCGCGGTACTACCGTGCCCCCTTGCGGTACTACCGCAAGGCAGGAATAGTCTAGGCTGAGAAGGCACGGACATATAAAAATACATCTGTGACTACTTCCGCTGAGTTTTGATCTATGCAAACATCCAACACGGTACTACCGCAAGCCTAGAGCGGTACTACCGTATAGGGCGCGGATGTGAAAAATTACATCTGCCCCTACATCCGCTCATGTTGCTGTGCCTGGCCAGAGCCCACGGTACTACCGCACCCATGGAGCGGTACTACCGCGTAGGGCGCGGATGTAAAAAATTACATCCGCCCTACAACCGCTCGAGTAGTTGTGCCTGGCCTGAGGCCACGGTACTTACCGCTCCCAAGGAGCAGTACTACCGTGAGCACCTACGGTACTACCGCGCTGGTAGCCGGTACTACCGCAAGGGCCTGCGGTAGTACTGCTCCGATGAGCAGTACTATCGTCTGCCTCAGTTCAGCAACACTAGGAGTCCTTCATTTTGCAGAGACACGGAGAGACGAAGGATGCTCCAAAGAGCCAAAGGAAAGGTGGTGCAAAAAGAAACAGACGTGTACGTGTTGATTCCACCCTAACCTTTCCGCGGACCCACTCTTAATAGTACGCTTTCCTACGACTCAAATACACCTAGAAGAAACGTAAAGAAACGCCGTCTTCAATAATCTTCGAGGGGCATCGAATCGTCTTGTGTCTAAACATAAGATATCTGAAATGCTCAACGCACACGATTAGTCCGCAAAAACATTGTCATTAATCACCAAAACCACATAGGGTGAAATATGCCCTTACACTATTGACTAGCTCGGCCTCTGCTTACACAAGATACCAAAGGCGTGGGTTACAAGACTCCTAATCGGCTAAGTCGGTGAAGAGGAATCCTCCCCGGATAAGGAGTCCTTGTCTTAAACGGCAATGCCTCCAGAGTCTTCTTTGTTGAGTGTCATGAGCCGTTCGAAGTGGCCCAGAACGGAACCAACTAGGGGTCCTCAGCACGACCCACATGGTGGGAGGCCCCTTAGCCGGGACACCGTCCGTAGCCCTTGAACCGATACTGAAGCTAGCAGCACATCATACGTCTGAGCTCCAGGTTCAAAAGCATCCGAGGTGATGTAAACCACCCCGGTCTTGGGAAATATTGAATGAGCCAAGCCGAGCTGCGTGGGCAATATTTCCCCCGCAGCCAGCCGGCTCCCATGTCGGATTGCTTCTAAAGTGATGCACACCACCTCGAATTTGAGTTGTTGATGAAGAATTGAAGATGGCCGGCCTATGCCAAAAAAAATAAAATCTGCCACACCAATTTCTTGCGATTTTTTTTCGATTGGTGCAATATATTCGTTGCCAAGCCATATAGTCAGTAGCCCTAAAGGTGAATATCAGCCCAAAATCCGATATGCACTCTAGAGCTTAGCAAAAAGTACTACTCCATTCGTTCGGAATTACTTGTCATAGAAATGGATGTATCTAGACATTTTTTAGTTTTAGATACATCCATTTCTGCGACAAGTAATTCGAAACGGAGGGAGTACTTAGTAATGCTACATTCTGCCGTAACTGAGGTGCGGCTCGACAGGGGCCCGTGTGGCCAATGATCCTGTGGAGCGGGTCAATAGGCAGCCAGCCAGCTAGAAGGAGCGGGTCTCCTCGACCTCGACCCGCGCCTGCAGAACCAGGTTTTGAGCCTGCTGAAGGTTACCGTCGAGGCATTGATTGAGCTTAAATGGCACGATGGCAACCTGTCGCCTGAAAAAGCGTCGCTAATCATACTAGTGGTTCAAAACAGCAGTGAGGCGATGGCCTGCTTGCAGTTCAGTTCAGCCAGCTCCCCCTAATTCCTCCCCCTCCTCTTGGTTCATCTCGTCGTGTATCTCTCGCGCGCGCGACGGCCTCGGCGCAGGCACCGGCGGCGGCAGGGAGGATCAGCCGGCGGCCGGCGGCTCCGATCATGGTCTGGTCGCTGACTGCGGGTGAGAAGAAACTCTTTTTTGGTTTGTTCTTGCTTACAGTCCCCTCTATGCATGTACAGTTTCCCTTTTCAAAAGTTTTGCGATGGTGTTTTCTTCGGCCTCGGATTTTCATTAGCCAACAAGCAACGATGACTCGTACATGCATGAAACCTTCCGTGAACATTTTTTTTTCTTCTTCTTTCCTAACTTGCCTTATGCAGGGGTGGTTCCAAGGGGTGCCATCATCATCTTCTTTTTTCTTTTGCGGGGAGGGTGTCATGATCCTTAACTAATTGCGAGTTGGTCTAAATAATTCTTCTGATGGGTGTAGATGTGATACTATTTGAGCAACATAGCAAAGTACTCCTAGAAGGGGAAATGCTAACTGCGAAAATCTATTCTTATAAACCTAGCGATATTTCTACCTTAAAAGTGTCAACAATAATTGAAAACACACACACGCACACACACACAAAGTTGAAACTTAACCATATAATAGTTGTGGCCATTTTCCACCTGTGTGAACATAATAACATTCCAATTTAAGCTTCAAAACTTGTGTTTTAGAACCCACAAAAAAAAACTTGTGTTTTAGCTTTCTCATTTTCTAGTCTTCACATCAAAATTTGCACGAGTTTTTTTCTATCAAATACTAGTTACTTTCTCAGTTGCACGGATTTACAAATTACTTTGCCCGAAAGTGGAGCGAAGCCCCAACCAAACCGTGAAGGTCGCAGCCTTGCCAACTAGAGGGTGAGCCATGACCTCGCCGGAGGTGGGTAGGATTACACAGCGCTCGAGCTCTCCCACAAGAAAAAAAGAAGGCAACGCTCAAGCTCGAGACAGCCTACAACGGCATCCCAAGTGAGAGCCAGGTAGGGGGACTCGCTGGACGTGAGGTAGGGGGTAGGCTGGGGGAGGAGGGGTTGAAATCGTGGGTTGGGTGACGAAGACGAACCATGTCGCTTGGATGAAAAGAAGAACAAGACGAACATAAGGTGTTGGATTTAAATCGAATAGTTGAGAGGGAGGAAGCGTAAATCGACTAAAATGAAAACAATGTTTAATTGCATGACCCATAGGTACTCCCTTGTTTTCTTATAACAATACAATACAATTTTCACAGCGCGAACGCGCGCGCGCACACACACACAAAAAAAGAACAATACGGTGTTCGCTATGTTTCACATGGGTCCATGTGGGTCGGCACATTACAACTTGCCTAAAACGGTCGTGCCATGCAGGCTGAAGGCTTGGACTCGGGTATGGGCTTGGCACGTGAAGTAAAAGGGTGGCCCGTCATGACACGTCTGTGTGTCGGCCTGTCGTGTTAGAAAGGCGCAAAGAGCAGTAAAAATGTCAAAATATAACACAAAAAGGCTTAAAATTTCAGCTTAAAAGACCTTTTTTTAGGCAAGCTTCAAAGGCCTAAACCGTAACACAAAAGAAAACAATACGGTGTTCGCTATGTTTCACATGGGTCCATGTGGGTCGGCACATCACAACTTGCCTAAAACGGTCGTGCCATGCAGGCCGAAGGCTTGGGCTCGGGTATGGGCTTGGCAAGTGAAGTAAAAGGGTGGCCCGTCATGACACGTCTGTGTGCCGGCCCGTCGTGTTAGAAAGGCGCAAAGAGCAGTAAAAATGTTAAAATATAACACAAAAAGGCTTAAAATTTCAGCTTAAAAGGCCCTTTCTTAGGCAAGCTTAAAAGGCCGTACCGGGCCGGTTAGGCTTGGCCCGGCCCATATGTCCCAATTCCCCGACCTGAGCCCCCTTTTTGCTAAAGAAAAAAGAGCGAAGTGACTCCCGGCCGCCATTGTCGCCTCGCCGGCGACATGCCTCTTGCCGCTGAAGCAGATGCCTGCTCCATCTGCGCACCACCACCAGTACGGAACCTCCGCTTCCGGCGATTTCCCGCGGCCGGAGGTCTGTCCCCTCCTACCGGCGCCGGCGCCAGCGCCGCCACTTCAGATCCGGGTATCTGACGCTACCCGCCTGCCCCGCAGCCGTGTTCGGCTGTTGCGCCATGCTGCGCTCGGCGCTACCAGGCCCTGTAAGGTACGGCGAACCCTAGTCGCAGGGCGCAGTGATTTGTCTATCTGGGCTGACGCGTATGGTGCGACTGGTCATGGGGGCATTTTTTTCCCCTGTTGCTGGAGAGTTTGTCCTGTACCGTTGATGAAATGCAAACTCGAAGCCCTAGGAGATTAGGATGAACTAGGAGTCGAAGAAGACCTGTGTATCTCGTTCAATTCGAGATTGCTCACGCTTCTTTCCTGGATCAGGAATGTAAGCAAGCACCCAACATAGATAGTTTGTTGTTTCTTGCATCGCTGAAACTAGGAAACATTCAGTTGCATCGTAGAGGGGATTTTCAGTTTACTGCCTTGCATGTGAAATCAGGGGGGAAACGGGCTGGAGGTTTCACTGTGATGGCATGTAGGAATCAAACTCATGGAGTGGCGGCGTGGAAGAAATATGCTGTTTTCCAATGGCAAATGACAGAAATACATTTTACTACATAGAAGATGATTTCTCACAATTCTTTGTTTCAACATGTAAAATAGAATTAACATGATAAGCAGAAGCAGCCATCGGACAACAGGGGAAAGAAATATCCAGTATAAATCACTAACAACGCTGTGTCGTAGTGGGCAAGAATGTGGTGGTGCTACCCCTAGGCATCCAATGTATCATTTTAGCTTTATACGCATAGAGCCACAAACAGGTGACTAATATATTTATTAAAATTATATTCTGTCCATATTCATTGTGTACTCAAGTTTGTAACATCGCACCTAATAAGCAACTGATAGAGATATTCCATCTGAAAAAAGTTCTGGAATGAGAACAAAAGTCAAATGGAGTCTGCAGTAAATACTGAATGGCGGCTTCTTTTTTATCTACACCCAGCATAGATGCATAATTTGTCATGTTTTTGAGTCTTTCTTTCTTCATACCTGAGCTTCTGTTCTTTTGTGGTTAATATGGACCTGAAATCAGAGAAAACCATAGATAGATAGATATTCAAAGTTCATGTTTTACTTTCGAGCATGGGCTAGCCTTTGCTCTCTAAATCTGATTCCAAGATTGTTCGGTCAAAGTGTTTGTAATAGTGCACTAAACTCTTAACTAGCTGCTGATATATTTCAAACAATCGGGGGTTATAGGGGGGTCTCCCCTATTAATTCTGTTTGGAGGAATGACCAAACACCATATTCTAGAAGAAAGCAAATATTTGTAATTTATTTTATTTTATGCGGGGCCAAATGACTCATATCAATTACTTGGTCGTTACCTTACAGGACAGAAGCTCTTACTACTTTTCACCGCCACCCTAACCCTGCAGCATAGTACTATCGCTTATGGGTCTGAGTCCTCTGGGAGCATCCGCATGGCGCGGCCTGACTGCCCAGACAAGTGTGGTAACGTCAGCATCCCGTATCCGTTCGGCACCGGGAAAGGCTGCTTCCAAGGACCCTTTAGTGTCACATGCAATGCCAGTGGGCCATATCTAGCTTCAACCAGAGTTAGGATACTGGACATCAATCTTACCATGGGTGAGATTCGTGTTCTGAATCCACGTATAGCATGGGAATGCAACTACACAGACGGCACCAATAGCAACGGTTCGGATGGGTTAAGACTTGATCCTTTTCATAAGCTTTCCAACACCAAGAACAAGTTGATATCGATCGGTTGTGCTACACTTGGATTTATCGGAGGAATGACCAAGGGCGAGAACCAGATTTCGTTCCCCATTGTTAACTCATGCTTTTCATTCTGCACTGACGCAAGTAGCATGAATGGTAGCACAGAGTGCGGTGGCATGGGTTGCTGCCAAATCCCCTTTCCAGGAAACATCAGCTCCTTCCGCACCGGATCTAGACCATTGACAATATACGACTCTAGCACCCAGCCTTTCCGCCCGTGCAGCTACACATTCGTTGCTGAGGAGGACTGGTTCAAGTTCAATCATTCATATATCATGTCTACAAATTTCGCAACTAAATATACAGATGGGGTCCCTTTGGTACTAGATTGGGTTGTTGGTAATAAAAGTTGTTCGGAAGCCACCAAGATGGGATCACAGTATGCATGCCAAGCCATGAACAGTGAATGCATCGATGTCTCCAATGGCCCTGGTTACCGCTGCAACTGCTCTCAAGGTTATGAGGGCAATCCCTACCTACAAGGAGGGTGCCAAGGTACGTATATGCATCTTGCAGACTCAACCTACTCTCTTTCTATCAGTTGATCCATGTTGGCATTCTCCTCACTTCCTTGAAATGACAGATATCAATGAGTGCGAACCTCCAAACCAGTCCTTCTACCCTTGTAAAGGTAATTGCAGAAATACCGACGGAAACTACGTCTGTCTCTGCCCATCAGGATTCAGGAGCGATGATCCCAATAGCATACCCTGCGTTCCAGCTGACCCAAAGAAAGCGCTGAAGGTTGTTTTAGGTAATGAGGTTGTTACTTGTTAGTAATCAAAATATTCTGCACCGATTATACAACTCCAAGTACACTTTGTATGCATGTTGCACTGGTTTTTAGGCAAACGTGGACAGTGCTGCTAGTTGAACTGATGGTAATTAACTATCATGATTTTCAGGCATATTCTTCTGTGTTGTCTTCCTCATGGTTTGTATCTTTGCTCTACGGGCTGAGTATCAGAAAAGGAAGCTTGCCAAAGAGAAGGACAAATTCTTTGATCAGAATGGTGGTCAGATATTATATCGCCAAATTATGTCAAAGGAAGTCGACACATTGAAGATATTTACACAAGAAGATCTGAAGAAGGCTACAAACAATTTTGACAAGAGCAAAGAACTGGGCAGGGGTGGTCATGGCACTGTCTACAAGGGCATTCTGAAGGATGACAGGGTAGTGGCCGTCAAACGCTCAAAGATAATGAACGTGGCCGAAACTGATGAATTTGTGCAGGAGATTATTATACTTTCACAGACCAACCACCGGAATGTGGTCAGGCTTCTAGGGTGCTGCTTAGAGGTGGAAGTCCCCATACTGGTCTATGAATTCATCCCAAATGGCACTCTATTTGAGTTCATCCATCGTAGCTACGGGAGTCCACCGCCCTCGCTGGACACCCGTCTCAGGGTCGCTCAAGAATCCGCCGAAGCACTGGCATATTTGCATCTGTCCATGAACCACCCTATAGTGCACGGGGATGTCAAGTCTATGAACATTCTCTTGGACGACAACTACATGGCGAAGGTGACTGACTTTGGGGCGTCAAGGATGCTCCCCAAGGACGCGGCCCAGTTCATGACGATGGTGCAGGGCACCCTGGGTTACCTGGACCCCGAGTACCTGCAAGAGCGACAGCTCACGGAGAAGAGTGATGTCTACAGTTTCGGGGTCGTGCTGCTGGAGCTGATCACAGGGAAGACGGCGATCTATAACGATGGGCCCAATGAAGGCAAGAGCCTTGTGCGGTCCTTCCTGCTCGCGATGAAGGAGGACATCCTCGAGGACATCCTGGACCCGAGCATCGTGCGCGCAGGGACGGCGACGCTGCTGGGGGAAGTGGCCGCGCTGGGGAGGATGTGCTTGGGTCCCATGGGTGAAGAGAGGCCATCCATGACCGAGGTGGCCGACAGGCTGAAGGCTCTGCGAAGCACCTGGAGGGAAGAGCTGGTGCTGGACGGTGCCGTGACGGAAAATATGGTCGTGCACATGCCACCTGCGGCAGCTCCGATGCCTTTGGATCTCGCGTCATCGTCCTCGGGAGCCCCCTCGACGGTGCCGTACATGTCCGGAATGGGCATGGAGTCTCCCAGATGATGGTTTAATTTGGACCTTCCTTGGGAGTGGTACTGACAGGAGGAAGTGTGTGCGTTAAGAGGCTTAGAGCGTCTAAGATTTGTACAGGTAGTTCTACTGTATTATAGGTATCTAAGTAGATGTTGGAATTTGCTGTGTGTTTTGTGTTTCAGTGTGGAGTCTGCAGTGTGAGTGTGAAGGGACACAAAATTCAGTTCCCTTTCTTCCAATATTCAGTATGCGAATCCAGTGTTAGTATGAAGGGAAAATTCAGTATGAGAATCCAGTTCAGTGTGAAGGGAAAATTCAGTTCCCAGCAACGGATCAATCATCGATCTAACTGGGCCGTACCAACTATTATTTGGATTTTTTTCTTAAGAAAATATATATTCAGATCTACTCCATCTGTTCATTAATATAAATCTTTTTTAGAGATTTCACCATGGACTACATACGGAGCAAAATGAATCAATCTACACTCTAAAATATGTTTGTATACATCCGTATGTAATTTGTAGTGAAATCTCTAAAAAGACTTATATTTAAGAATGGAAGGAGTATTAACCAAACAAGTAGGACAAACAACTCTGGAAAAATAAAGAAATTACATTGAAACCCCCGAGGGCCTACAATTTTATTTTTTTCTTGAAAGCGTTGATAAGGTGTTGCGAGATAAGCGTTGATAAGGTGTTGTTGATGGTGGACGAGAAGTCATCAAGGCTATGGTCCTGCCAAACCATCGTCCTGGAGAAGTTGTTATAGTCGGAAAAGCCACGTATCCAAGAGTTTGATCTTAATTTTCACATGCCTCACCTTGATACTGAAGAATGCACCGACATGACAAAGATGAGGCATGAGAATCCAATTGCAAAGGTAAGCCATCGCCACTGCCACATCGGCACACCCTGCAAACTCTAGCCTCATCGTCGACAATTGATGATAGGAATCTATGGCCTCGAATCATGGACACTACCGCACACAACACCATCCGTCCCACATACAATTAGGAGACAGAGGGGGTAGAATTTGAAACGAATATGTTAGGGTCAAGACCGAAATTTTGACAAACAATTAGGAATGATTTTATAATAAATTATAAATTACCTTTTGTCCAACCTCCACAACACAATCAACCCGGCATGCTAACCGGAATTGTGCCACCGGCTACCCTCTCCTCGCCGCCGGCCGCCTCCTCATCGCCTACCCTAATAAACCCTAATTTTGTTCCTCGCCCTCTAGCTTCATCCTCCCGGCTCCTGAGGTTGAATAGTCACCGCTTCGGTACAAGCAGCATGCCACGTGGCCACTCGACAAATTTTATTCTTTGACACGTGGACCGCCTCCGTGGCGAGCTGATTGACTAATCACAGTCTAACCCCCATGCCACGTCAGCACAAGTCACCTACAAATACAGTTAAGGCGAAGAGCTGACTCGACTGTGCAGACGAGGAGCGCTATCTCCCTGACAGGTAGGACATGGCGAACGAGTCGTACTTGCTCAGCACCGACGCCGACGAGGCGGCCCTCCCGGCCGGGCCCGCCGACGGCAGCCGGAACGGCCCGCCGCCCCGCGCGCGGGCGTGGCCGAGCGCCAGAAGGTCCTCCATGATCGTGTCGGACGGCGGCGGCGCCTCCACCTCCCCGGCGACCCTCCCCTCCAGCATCTCCAGCACGCGCGCCATGCTCGGCCGCGCCCCGGCCTTCTCCTGCGCGCACCACAGCGCCACGTGCACCGCGCGCCGCACCGCCGCCTGCTCCGCGTCCCCGACGCCGGAGGAGAGCCTCCGGTCCACGACCTCCATCACGCGCCCCGCCCGCGTCATCTCGGCGGCGATCTTGGGCAGGTACGACCACCCGCCGTCCTCCTCCGGCCGCACGCAGCGGCGGCCGGCGACCAGCTCCAGCAGCACCATGCCGTAGCTGTAGACGTCGGACTTCTCCGTGACGCCGGCGCCGAGGAGCCACTCGGGCGCGAGGTAGCCCGCGGTGCCGCGCACCGCCGTGACCACCCGGCTCTGGTCCTTGCCGGCCAGCTTGGAGAGGCCGAAGTCGGAGAGGACGCCCCGGAAGCCGTCGTCGAGGAGGATGTTCTCCGGCTTCACGTCCAGGTGCAGCACCTTGGAGCGGCAGTCGTGGTGCAGGTAGGCGAGCGCCTTGGCGACGTCGACGGCGACCTGGTAGCGGCGCGGCCACGGCAGGCAGCCGCGCGGGCGGGCGTCGGCGGCGGCGTCATCGGCGGGGGTGGGGGCGGGGAAGATCCAGCGGTCGAGGGAGCCGTGGTCCATGTACTCGTAGACGAGGAAGCGCGGGGAGCCGAGGCAGAAGCCGAGGAGGCGGGCCAGGTTGACGTGCTGCGCGCCGGCGATGGCGGCCACCTCCGCCCGGAACTCCTTGTCGGCGCGTCCGGCGGCGGCGCGGCCGTCGTCGGCGATCCGCTTGACGGCGACGGGGGTGCCGTCGTCGAGGACGCCGCGGAAGACGGTGCCCGAGGCGCCCCGCCCGGCCACGCACCGGAAGTCGTCCGTGGCCGCCGCCAGCGCGTGCAGCGAGAACTTGCGCGGCAGCCCGGCCACCTTGCGGAAGTAGCTGTACTCGGCCCGCAGCTCCTCGCCGTCGTCCAGCGCCCGCCGCGCCGCCATGCGGTCCGCCCGCCCCGCCGTGCAGTGGAGCATGACCAGCAGCGTCAGGACCGTCGCCGCCAGGACGGCGGCCGTGGAGAGGTAGAAGGGCCTCGACAGACGCAGGCAGAGGTAGAGGGCGACCTCGGCGGCGACGAGCACCGTGCTGGCCACCGCGACGGCGAGGACCTTGGCCGTTCTGCTCCCCATCCGTGGTACCAGACCATCTTCTGAGCTCTTTACCTCGTCCTACTCCCAGTTTTGACTTGCTGAATGTTGATCCTTGCAAATCATAAAAGATGACAACGACATTCTCAACTTGAAATTTTTGAGCTTTCCTCTGGTCTCCCTTGAGCCGTAAATTTCAAATAGGATAGGCAACAGGCGAGGAAATGTTCAAACCAAGAACCGATTTGGCGCGACAAGCGACACAAATGGCATCGCGCCACAGGGAATTTCATCGAGAATTTCATTCGCACTTTCAATTGTTAAGTTGATTAAGTAGATGAGCAAAGAGGGATTCAACGCCTTTCAGTGACATCAGTGGATAGTGTGGTTGGTGAAGCCTGCACTTTAGACAAATCCAAGGTTTGAATGTTTCAGCAAACAACTAAATGTTACTACAAAGAAACTAGAGCTTGATTGACAGTTTCCTCAAGGTCTATTTACCGTCATCAAAACTCGACGACAAACAACGGATCAAGATCGTCAAAGCGAAAACGATGCTCCCATAACAAATTACCCACCAGCAAAACAGTTGATGTGGCCACTGAACACGGAGCCGTCCACGCAAAGATGCAATTAAAACCTTATTGACTGGATGAAAGGCAAGTCGAAAACGAAAGAGACGTCACTGTTTGTTTAATGAATCGCATTATTCGTGTGCGGCAATTCTCCAAAAAGAAAAGAAAAACTATGTTTCCAGGGCCCTTTGCTGCTCCGATTTCCCAGTCATGACAACTGAGAACAGCAAACTGGTTGGCATGGGTATTAAACTCTATGGGCACGGAGAAAAGCTGGTGTTTTTCACAGCTTCAAAGCATCTCAGCAACAAAAATAATTGGCACCGGTCCACTGTTTCATCAGTAGACATGCCCTCTTCGATCTTAATGGTGGTGGTGGTCGTCGTCGTCATCATGTCCGTCGGGGTTTCCTCCGTTCCCAATAACCTCAAGCTGCGGAAATAAAGTTGGAATTTCAATGCTCAGAAAACATGGAGGCAACACATGATTTAGTATCTTGTTCAAAAAAAGTTCACACAAGGAAAAGCAAATTATGTCAACAGAAGACAGCAACATACCTTGAAATACTGAGTGCAGACTGGGCATTCATGCGGCTCGCCTTTCTTCAACCAAAACCACACAACATCATGTTCATCCTCTGAAAAGGAGCAAAATAGTGGAATTTGGAATTTGAGTTAATTAGATTCATGATGGGTTGATAATCATTTCTAGATAAGATGCAGGAGAAGACTGAAGTTTCGCAGCCTCTGTTAGTGGAGACAGAATTATGGATTCAAGTTAATATACCTCCTTCACCACCAGGGCAACCAACAATCCTCTTGTCAAAGTGTGACTGAATGATAGCTGGCTCTTCCTATGAATGAGGATGTGGACACATATTCATTCATTAGACCATACGAGTAGAAAAAACAACTAAAGTGCACAATGATACACAAGGTACAGTTGAGCCAACAAAACACTCTGCAAAGTGATTTGTCAAAAGAACAAAACAGAATGCAATGCCTATTTGTGAACTCACAACCATATTACATAACAGCTGTTGCAAGTCAAATGGATAAGTTATGAGAAAATAGGCCGGGCAAATCAGTGAGGTAAAACAGAAAGGGGTCATTGCAGCAGAATACACAGGGACAGCTACGCAATTCACCATTCTAACTGAGAATAGTCTGTTCTTGATACATGAGGACAATATACTTTACTAGAGATGCATTAGGCTGGAAGATAAGAAACATAAATTCAACTTCAAAATAAGAGTTACAACCATTGAGCATGTCAATTCACAAATCATAACAAACAGATCCAACACCATCCGTTCAACTAAAATGCTCCACAGCAGCTAAGATCACATTGATAAGGAACAGACTCACAGAATAAAACAAGCAGGATTTTTCAAACAAAATATATCTTCCATGAAACAAAGTGTTCAGTGTTCACATGATATTACAAACCAAGGGGAAAAAACAGATTAATAAGCTAAAAGGAATAGAAAACAGAGCAATGAAAAAGCAAATTCTAGATGCCTGCAAGTAAGTATAAGTTCAAGAGGTGGGTCCGAGTCAGAACAAGTGGTTGGAAATTCAGAAAGTTAACCCTTGCAACAACCCCTGAATTGTCTTTTAACATGCTAAAATCCAAAGACAGCTGATACATATTATCACAACCCAGAAGATGCTAATTGCCAAGGTCTGATATTATCACAACCCAGAAGATGACAAGTGCACAAAATGTTCAAGCAATGACTATGTCGTAAGAATGTTAAAATCAGCCTCATTTTTGCAATGACTATTATCACAACCCAGAAGAAGACAAATTTGCTTGCAACATACAGCCTCATTTTTTACCAACACGACTTCCAAAAGTTATGAAGACAAACATGATTGTGTACGCTGGACTGAATCTATCAGAATAACGTATCATGCTGCCTTACAACTAGAGCAATGCCATTGGTCTCACCAATACCTAACTTATGTTCAGCAAACCACTCCCTGACCATTACTAGTAGATCAAGGCAATAACGGCAAGCCTAAGGACCACACATCACCATTTCAGTGCAGACAAACAACCTATTAGACAATCCAATCGCGCACGGATCAAATGACCATTGCAGATGGCACCAAAAATTGGGAAAGCGCTGACCTTGGTGCCGAATGGGCCGACGGGGGCGTCCATGTCAAACCGCTTCTTTCCCTGCAGACGAAATCCAACGAGGGTCAAGAACGAACCGGCAAGGAAAATGAAACCGTGAGAAGAAGAAGAGACGAGGCCTAAGGCGGCCACGACGGAGGAGGGAGGCGGGCGGGCGGGCGGGCGGACCTGGAGCTCGGCCTCGATCTCCTCGCGCTCGTGCCCCGTGGCGATCGGCATCACGTCCTCCACCCGCATCCTCGCCTGCCCCGCATCTGCGGAAAACGCGCGGACCGCCGCTGTCAAATCGGGACCGAGAGACGGACGGGGACGGGGACGGGGGACGGCGGCGAGGGGCGACTGCTTACCGAGGGTGGAGAAGAAGGCGGGCGCGCGGCGGAGGGCGCCCGCGGCGGATCCCGAGATCGCCGGAGCGCGGCGCGCGGCGAGGGCCGAGCGGCGGGCGAGGAGGAGTGCGGCGGCGCGCTTCCACATGGCGGGCGGCGGCGGCGGGCGGACGAGGGGGCGATGCGGCGGCGGAGACGGGTCGGGGTCGGGGTGGTTCGAATGGCTCGCTCTCTGCCGATGGGTCTTAGGGCATGTACAATGCTGCTATCTTAGAGTGCCACGTAAGATTAATGATGAGGTGGAGGAGAAAGAACTCGTAAGAAAGGGCTTGTCTTCTCTTATTTAAGATAAGACAAGAGATGATCTCTTAGCATAATTTGTCTCACCATGTTTTAAGGAATTGCTAATTATTGAAGATAAGGCTAAGATATAACCCATTGTAGACATACTTTTTTGTCATCTCTAAATTGCATGCAAGACTTAAGATAAGACTGTCTTATCAACCATTGTACATGCCATTATGGAATGGAGGCCTTTTCCACTTGGTGTTTCTTTTCTAGGCAACCGATAGTGGAAAATATAGAATAATTCCGTCGAAATGATGAAAAATCTCTCCTCTCTCTTTTCCATTTCGATTTTTGTTGGCAACCCCGTTTCCTCGGCTGATTTTCGACATCTGGTCCGTCCCTCCTCCTAGAGCGTGTTTGGTTGCATAAACTGGATACGATTAAGAGTTACCAACTACACATGATGCATATGATTATAATAGAGTGTCTCGGTGACCGGGATGGACGATGGCCGTGTCCGACGCATGCTTGTGTGTAACACATGTTTTTTGAAAGGGTGTAACATATTATTGTATTATAATTATTAGTCATGCATTCACATGCTTAAATATGGTGTTCATCTTATAGTTCGAGACAAGTTTACTCAACTCTCGTACCTGTTTCAAAACCACCCACCTGATGTTCTCCGAGTGCGTCATTTTGCAAAATGTGCTTTTCTATTTACATTTCCATGTTTTTCAAACATTTCATGCAAAAAAGAGTTTAACCGGATACTAACGCTAGGTTCTTAATTGCACCGAAAGGTTTGAATTATTCTCCCGCAAATACGGGTCATGTACATTTGCGTGTTCATGGACCAAACATGCCATTCCTTTTCTCTGCAGCCTAATAAATTGTTAGGAATCACATACTCCGGGAGGATTATAATGTGTAGTGGGAGAAGCTCAAGTATGGGGTACTTAAAAATAGCTTGGACTAAGCAAATTAACCTCGAAAGTTCTATAATAACTAGGATAATACTAATAATTCGTCTGAGAACATGTGTGGATACAAAATTCTGTACAAGAGTATCAAATATCGAAACCGCCTGTAATATTCTCCGCTCGACCATATATACGAGAAAGCATAAATTGGCTACTCTTAGCGTGAACATTCCACAATAATGTCATGGTTAGTATGAACATTCCACAATACCATGGTAACATCATTTCATAAGTACTTGTCGAAGGACGAAACCAACTTTGATCAATATATAATAATGCTAACTCACAACGCTAGAGAAAAACAGTCTCGACTTTTAAGGGTTTCATAGAGGCACACATAGTTCCAACTTCAGAGCTACTCAAATGAAGCATATCAGAAGCTCTGTGCCATGATCTGTGCCGCATGAGAGAATCATCTGCACGGACAACATTTTGACATTAAGAGAGCCTTCCATTGTTCCAAATTTCAAGGTACACAATAAATTGTAGATCTTACTTTCCCGTTTCAAAATACCTGGCATTTTTCACCTTGAACAGTCAAATTCAGTTATATTTTATCAATTATTTCCTTCTTGTTTTTCAGTTTGGGTGTATTTAGGTGGTAATGTTAGATTTTTTTATTACAAACATTATTATAAAACTAAATTTCCATAATATTTATAGATGTGTTAGTAAAAAAGTGAAGTGTAACTTTAGGACATGCACAAAAAAACTGCCAAATATTTTGAAATGTAGGTAGTTTCTTGTCCCTCAGATCTATGTTGAGTACAAAGTGACGATTTCCATTATTCAGATATAAGACTTGTAAGCCTAACAGTAGATGAAAAGATATGTAACCAGATGTAAGATCTTACCGCCAAGTCTGCAGCTCCTACACGGCAGCCCATCAGCGTCTTATGGCCAAGGAAAGGCCTGGTTGAAATGTGAGGGGGCAAATAAGTTTACATTCAAATCAAGCTCGAAAAACAAACACCAAGTTTAAACAGTAGCCTTATCATTTAACCAAAATAGTAAGAATGTAAAGACTCACATTGCAAATATAATGACATTTTGTGGCTTTAGTATCATTTAGCCTAAGTAGTAATATGTAAGACTTTAGTGAGATATGGTAAGAATACATGACTCACGAGGTTGGTGAGTCGGTCGGTGATAGACAGATATCTTTTCCATCGCTATGCCATTAGCCACGAAGAACTGTTCTAACACAGGAACTCTTTCATCATCCATGGGACATTTTATATTGACCATTGTAAGGTTTTTGCAAGCAAATGATGTACCCTCGGGTTTGATATCGTCATCTATTTCCTCATGTTCCTTGTCGCAGAACAAAGTGAATATCACGAAATGTCCAAACTAATTTATCACAGCTCAAAATATAAGCAGTATAAGAATGTTTATACCGTTTTGAGTTTAAGAAAAAGCCTCTCGAGATTTGGAGCATGCTGCAGGAACAAAACTAATGGATGCAAGTCAGCAGCCATACACCATTCACCAAGGGATAACACCTTCAGGTTGCTAAAAACTGGGCACATCTCCAATTCCCTATTCAGAATCACCTTCATACGGAACACAAGTGAATTTGTTCAGTTCGGTCCAAACAAAAGAATAATAACAGAGTGAACCTACATGCAATTAGACATTTGTAAGTGCATGTTTGTTTCTGATTAAGTTGTGTAAGAGGATGTTGCCATTAGACTGTAGACATGCTAACAAGGATACAACATTGCAAAAGAAAAGGGATTAAAAAAATGCTCCCGGCAAACTACTCAAATTCTATGTGCTTTGCTTACAGTTTTATTGCAATAAAGGTAGAAATTATTTCCCATAACTCATCAGGTCACTTGTTGTGATTGTGAGTATTAGAGTGCAAAAAATACACAAAATGTGCACATAGCACATTGGATGTCCAGTAAAAAAAAGTGGGGGGTTCGTTAAGTAAATATTTTTTCTGCAAAGAAAATAACTGAAAAATCTATATTAGTTGAACAAATATAACATTGCTGAAATAGAGATATCAGCAACAGATTCGTATATATACCTCTTCGGCATCAGCTATCAGCTCCAAACTTGTAGCATTCGACAGGCTGCGGATAACATTTTGGCCACCTAAAACTTTGTCACCATAGAACTCATCACTTGTACTCAAGTCGCTATCAGCGTCGCTGTCATCATTTGAGTCACTGTCACACTCAAACACCTCTGGATCGAGCTCTGCATACCTCTCTTCAAACTCATCATGCAAGAAAGAGTCATTAAGCATGATTGTGGCTGTGGCCAGGGAAGCCATGTCTTGGAACGAGGGGGCGTGGTGGTATGGATTGACACAGCGCAGCGATATGAGGTTGGGAGCAGCAACGGTGAGGTCCCTGATGATCCTGCACTCGACCATGGTGAAAGTGATAAGCGAGGCAGATGATATGTGGGGGCCATCCAGGGAGCAGTCTTTGAGCTCCAGGACTTGCAGAGAAGGGCACTGAGAGGAGAGCTGCCTCAGCGTCTTGTCGTACAGCATTGTGCCCGACAGATGCAGGTGTTTGAGGTGGCAGGAGACGAGGGGCACGTTGTCGAGGTCGGAGAGGTCGTCGTCCCTTGGGTGGTGGCTGAGCTGGATGAACCGGGCCCTGCGGTTTATGGCAGCGCGGATCCACATTTCGACGTCCTCGGAGGAGTAGTCCTCCCCGTCGTCGTCGTACCGGGGACTGTAGGGCATGTGTGGAGCGTCCTGGCGTGGGGGGCTGGACAGGACCCGGAGGGCGTCCAGCGGCGCGGACGCCTCCCGCAGGAGCAAGAAGTGGTTGGCGAAGCTGGCGAGACGCGTGGGGAGGCGCCGGTGCCGGGCCTTGCAGCAGACCCGGAGGTCGACGCAGGGCGCGGAGGCCCAGAGGCCGCGCCAGCGGCGCGAGAGCACGCAGGTGCGCGCCACCTCCCACGCCCTGAGGAACGACATGACCTTGTGGAGGAGGTCGTCCGGGAGGGCGCTGAGGCGGTCGAGGGAGACGGCCTCGGCTTTGGGTTTCTTCCTCGGGGGCATTTCGTCGAACAGCTTGCCTGCTTCAGATGGTTGCTCCGAGTTTGCTACCCAGTAGGAAGAAATTCAAATTCCTTGGAAGTTTGCATTGCATTGCAGATTGCAGGGGAAGAGGGGAAGGCGAAGGGGGGATGGATGGATCGGTGGACCTGCCTGCGCAAGGATCGATCGGTGGAAGTTGGGGGTGAGTTCTTGCCACTTGAATCAAATACAATCCCGCCGACAGCGGCTACATTCGGTGCAAGTTGTTGCTCCAGGAGTAGAATGGTAGGCGGGAGTGGATGAATTATGAGCCACGAACAAACCTCGACGGTGATCTCGCCCAGAGCCCAGCCGAATCGGGTAGGGTAAAAGGGTTGGCGGCGGCGGTTTGCGCAGATGCTGTGGAGGAATGCCTCGATCTGGGACACGATGATGCCTCCTGCCTGGTTCATCTCTCTCGCTCCGTGTCCATGTGTTTGGGCTTTTCCCGGCAGTTCCTCCTCCTGTTCGGCGCGCATGTCCAAGTACTGGCCGGCCCAGTCTGGTTTCTAGAACCTTCCCTGAACAGGGTCCTTTGTTTTTATTCTGATTTTTATTCTTTCATATTTATTTTTAGTTTCTACTTTATTTTATTTATTTATTCCATTTTCGTTTTTTCCCTTTCTTTTTTCAGGTTTTTTTACTTTCTTTTTAATTTTAGTTTATCATTTTCCTTTTTTTTATTTTCCTTTTTTGGCAACATCTTTTTCAAATTTGCAAACTTTTTTTGATATCATGGATTTTTTTAAAAAAAATAGTGAATATTTTTTGAATTTCCGTACTGTTTATGAAACCTTGAAAAACTTTAAATTCGCGAATCTATTTTAGTTTTGCGATTTTCATAAAAAAATGAACATTTTTCTGAAGCTTGTGAACATTTTTATTTGAATCGGTGAACAGTTTTTTGTTTAGCGAACATTTTTTGAATTTATAAACATTTTTCTAACTCGGCAAACATTTCTTGAATTGATGAACATTTTTTGAAATGCATGAAGAATTTGAATCAGAAAACCCTTGAGGAATCGATGAACTTTTTTATAATTCATGATCATTGATATTTTTTTATTTTAAAAAAATCATGATCATTTTTTTAATTCAGTATTTTTTTGGTCCAAATTCACAAAGTTTTTTTCAATTTGCAAACATTTTTTTAAAATCTATGAACATTTTATGATTTATGGAGCAGTTGACCAAGGCCCGCTCCACTCTCTTCCCCCACACCCACCCACCGACCATCAGTTGTCTACAATGTATGTTGATACTCTGTCTGCTTTTAGTTACAAATGTGAGTCCAGTTAAAAAAATGAAAAATTAGAAATTTTGATTAACTATAGAAAAATAATATAAACACATATAATATAACCAGGCTGATTAACGCGATCAGGTTGAACGATGCAATAGAGATGGTCGAATGGTGGCGGGGAAGTTTCAATGTGGCATTTGCCTTCCCGCCACAACATTTTTTGGTTTTGGGTGCAGGATAGGGCGCAGCCACCTTGGTGCCCCAAATATATATCACTTGCACCAATTTTTTAATTAGGGGGTGCCCCAAATATATATCACTTGCACCAAATTTTTAATTAGGGGGTGCCCCAAATATATATCACTTGCACTAATTTTTTAATTAGGGGGTGCCCCAAAAAATTGCATCACCAATATAGGGATTGGCAATCTGCCGGAACAATGTTTTTTTTGTAAAAGTCCTAAAAATCAGATTTTGGGGCAGCTACCCTATTCCGGGGAGTGTTGGAGATGCTCTAAGTACAAGGCCTGAGATACAAAGAGTTCATGTCTCAATGGTGATATGCAGTATATCCGCATTGCTTAACAATTGGACGTGTGATGAAGTTGGATACGAACCAACAAAATTTATGGTATCTATGCAGTATATATTTGTAGGCCCGTGGGTTTCCTACGGCAGCGAGGTTAAAATAGGACAAAATGAATTCCGATGGTGTTGTCTCGATGCTTGGTAGATTAAAAGATGTAGTGCAAACTCTTATTTGTAAGCACGTATAAATATATATGGAGTGCATGCCTATGTATGATTGATGAGCTAGATGCTTTATTTATGTGTTGCCTTGTGTTATGACTACTACATAATCGTCACACCCATTTTCTGAGTAGAAATTTACTCTTTAAGTCTAAAAATTCAACTCCAAGCCCTTGCCTCCTGCGACCTCCGAGTTAGGGTTTCCCTGCCTCTCGACCGGCCTCCGCCTCGTCTCCTATGGTCCTTGGATCATGGAGACGCATTGGATCCTGACCCTTGCCGGCGGGAGGGCTCCGTTTTTGAATATTTTTTTGGAGTATTGTTAGGGTTTGTGCCATGCTCAGGAAGACCAGGCGGAGGCGACTTCTTGAAGATGGAATAAGTCCTCCCCGCCTAACCCCCGTCCCGGTGATGTTTCTAGCGTTGTCGGAGGGTGTGTGAAGGTGTGTCTCTGGTGGATCTCGTGGGATCCGGTCAGCGTTCATCTTCGGTGGGTCCGTTTGGATCCGGTCTTCGTTACTGGATGTGTCTACAGGATGTATCCTTCCGATCTAGACGTCTCTTCATCGGCGGCGGTTGTTGTTCTGGTGCGTTGGTCCTATGAGGCCTTAGCACGACGACTTTCCGACTGTCTATTACAACAATGTTTGCTCTGCTCCGATGAGGGAGGGGCGATGACGGCGGCGCGCCTTCGGCTCGCTCCAGTGCTTGTAGTCGTCGCTAGGTGGTCTACGGACCTGGATGTAATTCTTAATTCTGACGTTCTTTATACTACCTTGACAGTTGATGAATAGATTGGAAGTTTCTCGGAAGTTTCTCGCAAAAAGGAAAAAAATTCAACTCCAAGCTCCCCTTGATCTTCAGAATGACAAATTATGTTCTGCTTAGTTAGTGTATACTTCCTTTTGTGGCCGTCACTTTGCCAATAAAAAAATGTGACATATCAAAGTCTAATCTCTTTCTGGCCCCTTTTGATATATCGAAAAAAGATAACATGAACATAGGTAGGCTAGTTAATACTGACTTTATAAGAATAAGTTGATCCCTGTAAGATAACAATTTCCATATCCAGCTACTTAGCTTTTTCTTAAACGATCCCCAACAAGTTTTATTCATCATTTTTTTAATTTACAAAAGTATATAGCAATTCCTAGATATTTGAAAGGTAATGACCCGAATTCACACCCCCGAACAGCTGAATGTACTCATCATCCACAGCCTTAGCTTTGCCAAAACAAAAGAGTTCACTCTTACGAAAATTTATCTTTATACCGGAAAGTTGCTTAAAAGATGCATAAAGATTAGTGTCATCTTGTAGAGCTTTTTCTAAATTGTGTTTCATGAAAATAATAGCGTCATCAGCATATTGGAGCATCGAAACTCCACCATCGTAACACCAAAGGGCTGAATCAAAGGCACTGCATAAACCTCCCTAGATAAAAAGTTTCTGCATCACAGTTATCTTACAAAGATTTTTCCAATCCATTAATTTGGTCATTACAAACATGCATCCTTCATATTCAGTTTGACCAATCTTCCCTGCTCAATAACAGTCTTTTGAGTCCCCTGCCGTCCTTGGTATCTGGAAGCGCAAGCACCACCAGGACAGCGCATATGAGGGCGACGACACCACCGAAGCCAAAGGCCGGCGCGTTGCCCTTGTTGAAGGCCCTGTCTATCGGACCGGCAGTGAGGCCAACTAGCAGCTGGTAAAGAGCAGCAATGGCAAGAAAGTTATTTCTGTTCCAAGACAGATTGATCTGCAAAAACAGCTAGCAGGAATACTCACTTGCGATAGGGATATGACAATGGTGATCGCACCAACCGTGACTCCTGGTCAAAATTAAACAATAAAGTCGGGTTAATTATTTCTTGGGAGCAATTTAGAGGGGCAGTGAGAACGCAAAGATGTTTACAAATCACAAAGAAAGCCCAAACCTTGGCCACCACCCTCTCCCGCCGCGAGCTCAGCGGCGACGGCCCATGGAACACTATTCAACACAGCCTGTGGGATCCCGATGAGCGCAAACATGGTGAGCGCGAGGGCGTTGAGACTGTTGTCGGGGCCGGCGACGGTGAGGCTGGTGCTCAGAGACGGGTTGTACCCATTTGTCGAGACGACGCCGACGGCAACCATCCCTGCCATGATGAGGAACACTGAGAAGAGACTGATGGACCAGATGACCTTGGACGTCAGCTTGCGGCATAGCTTGGGGATGAGGAAGGAGGTGGCCCCGAGCGAGGCCGAGCAGAGGAGGAGCCCGATGGCTCCTTCGCGGACACCGGCATTGTATTTGTCGTCAGCCACCCCGTTCGGGTTGCCGTGGTAGATCTTGCGGCCCATCCAGTCCGTGTTGTACTGCAAGAACGGGAACCAGGAGAGCTGCAACCTAGTAAGGCCTTGTTTGGTTCATAAGTTCTAGGACTTTTTTTAGTCCCAACTTATAAGTCCCAAGTCCCTAAAAAGTTCCTACATGTTTGGTTCCTGGGACTTATAAGTCCCTATAAGACCATATTACAACTATAAGTCTCTATAAGTCCCTCCTTGAGAGTCTTATTTCATAAGTCTCAAATGCCCACTTTAAGTTCCTATAAGTCCCTCCTGTTTGGTTTAGATGGGACTTATAGAGACTTTTTAAGTCCCTAAGCCAATAAGTCCCTGAAAACAAACACCCTCTAACTTCGGCGTGGGCATGCTTTACACTCGCCTAATATATAATATAGGTAATAGCTCTGGTCTGTGGAGTCTGGACGTACCCATGTGAAGGCTGTTAAAGCGAGCACTCTGAACATGGCGGGACTCATGTTCTTCAAGCTCGCGAAGAGGTCGATGAATGCATTGAGGCCCCCGCAAGTTTGAGCGGAGGCGGCACCGCCAACACCGTCATTATCGAGGGACTGCTCATCAGCGAGGAGCATGGTCACTACTGTGCTGCTGATGATGAGCACCTGATCAATCATGTACAAATGTATATGATCACAAATTTGT